CTATACGAAGTTATTACGGAAACTCTGTGCTTGCTACGAAACATCCTTAAAGGCAAAGGTCGGGCTCAGACACGCTAGAGAAGTAATTCCCGTGCCTGGAGGTTGTATGTGGGTAGCTGCACACATTGCAGCAACTTTCCACCTTGAAAAACGTCGTTAAGCCCCGGGGCCGTCGGTTTCAATCCGGGACCGCCTCGTCAATCCGGGACCGCCCACCTCCGGAAGTGGTGCGTGGCTGGCATAACGTGTGAAATCAGCTAGGTTGATTGCCGTATCAACCGATAGAACGACTGACATCTCCAGAAAACTTGTTTGTACGTGCCTCTTCCCCAAGCCAGCCTCCTTCACTGCTAGTGGGAAAGAGGGTTTTGTTAACGGCCTTGTCGACGGTTTTTCTCAGTTTTTTCTCCACTGTCGTTCCACTTCGCATCTCTATACTCAGTTTCAATCGCCATAATACCCCCTTATTGAGCCCGACTTTTGCCTTTAAGCATTATTGCGGCTGCTGAAATTCGATATCTAACAAGTCAATCCACCTCAAAAGCCAGTTCAACGTGCTGTCCTTCCAGCTGTTTTCTAATATTTGAGCATCCAGAAAAAAAAGATTTACTCTATGAACATCTGTGAATAACAAAATACCCGAGAATGAGCTGCCAATATAGACAATGCGTGGCAAACGAAACGGAATAGAAATAGGTTAATCTGAAGGCCAAAAAGGCAGTGGTGCGCTTTGGATCAAAAGTCAAAGGGATACATTTCATTTCCAGAAATTGCCTTTAATAAGCTGTTCCGGCCAGAAATAGGCGCAAGCGCACCACCTCCTTTTAGGAAATATGAATGGTCTGAACAGCGCCACTTTGAAGATCAACGAGAAAATGCACGCAGTGTTTCAAACTGATAAGACAATGATGAAATGTGCTATGAGATTCGGGGAAAATCGCAACGAGTCGCTAGACTAACAGGTGAACGAAAGATACGGTACTTTGTGACTCCACTGAGCCGGATGACCGCGCATATTCCACCCGAGCAGATGGAGAGCTGCTTGATCACTGGTGAAGACGTCCTCTTGGGAAAGAGCCGGTTCAGAATGCAAATCGACGGAGCCTTTGCAGTCGTGGATGGAGCCATCCTTCTAAAATAGCACCCAATTTTTGAAAATCAGTGTGGAAAAGGTTGGACAAGGAGGAACTCACTCTTGTGCACTTGATGGAACATTTGATCCTGGCACCACCTTCTAGTATGCTGACGGTCACCTGTACACCACCACCGCTGCTGATTTCAGGATTGGGCGCCTGAAAGTGCGGATCTTATCCTTCCATATTAGGGCTCAAATTATTGTGATGGAAAACGGACAGACCTGTACGAAGACGAGATTCGGATCGAACGGTGAAGCAGCTTTTCGTACGGAAGACGACCATTTTTCGCCAGAAGTTGGAGCGACTTCAATCTGGAACACTCCCTTATGAGTAGGACGTTTTTCTATGAATTTCCATGAGCTATGACCTCAGAAAGGGCGGAGGTGGTGCAGTGAGAAGTTGCGTCACTTACAAGCTTACGGTCAAGAATCAACCACAGACTTAGTTCCGCTCAGGCACATCCAAGCCTGTCCATTCTTCGAAACAGGACAGTTGGCCCGAAATTATTATAGGAGGATAAATGGCTCATACGGGGCATCCTCTAGGAGCAGGAGGGTGCAAAAACTTCGGGTACAATTGAAATTGCTCATGCACCCTGTCTGAGTATCCCCTACTCCTCCTCGCTGTACATCAGATGCTCCACCCCCACGCATTATGCACTTAAGAAACGTATTTTATCACAATTCTTCTTGAAGTAGACTTGGCGTGCGCATCCCGTATGTCGAATGCTTCTTCTAAGACCTCGGAAAATCTGGACTTTGCCCTGTCACCTGCTAGTCTATGCCCTTCCCTCTTTACGCCATTTAAATGAATCTCCATATCGCTTTAACTCGTCTCCTTCCCACCCATACCCAGCTTTTCCGCTTTCTTCTGTTATATGTTGTATTCATTGGTGCTTCTAACTCTTATCTTGCTTATTACGATTCTACTGGGTACATCTCAAGCTCCACCTTCTGCTCCAGCCTCACCTAAGCAACCAAGGTACATTTCTCGCTTACCCTCGTGTCCTCCCCTATGATACCTATCGTGTTATCTAATTATCTTCCTCATCTCTCTTCGCTGCTCGTGTTGACAATCTCTTCCTTCTAAGTCTCTTTCCCTCATGATCTCTGTATGACTTGTCTTTATTATTTCTACCCCAGCTTCCATCCGTTCAGGCTGTGAAGCGTGTAGCGCGCTTGGTATTCCCTCCTCCGAGGGTTCATAATTTGCGCTATTTCATCTCTACTAATGCGGGCACCGTCGCATTGAGACACACACTCGGATTAGTGAATCGAAAATGTAGTACCTGTAAATTTTGTGATAGGCGACTATGAACGGCTACACGGAACCATACGTGCGGTTCGCGGGATGGAGGCGGCCGAGTGTTCTCAGCCAATGAGGTGATCATGGCAGACGTCATCAACTGAAAAGGTTACGGGAAACCAAAAGTCTTCAAGCTTGTGCTGCCAACAAAGCAATCAGTTTTAGGGACCTCACCTTTCTTGAACAGGCGAAAACAATGAATGGAGCAGAGATCGTGATTTGTCGAGGATGCGCGGAGAGGTCGACATCCAGAAACCTAAAAACCCCTCGTTCTCTATTGTTGACGTGCTATACGAAGTTATTACGATTGAAGGCAGTCCTTTAGAAATATGGCCGAGATGGTCAGTTGTGTAGGTGAAAAAAACCATGAGAAACGGCCCAAAACCGAGAAGAGGGGAAATCCCTTCCTCGCCAGTTGGTTTATGCATTAATTTGAGCTCTCATCGGTGTGGCCCTGTTTGACGCTAACGTTTGCTCTACTATAAGAGTAGAGGACAGCGGCGAGTGAAGAACGAGATAGATGGGCGTTTTCGACGGCACATTAGGGAGGCGCGGTTAGGAAAGCCATGTAGATCGTGTGAGGGGCATATCTTCGTGCAATTTGATGGATGTTGCGACCTTTTTAGGATGTTAGTCCGTCTTTTTCTTTGCGCTAGGTGAGTTGCTTATTTCGTCCTCAACCTTATCATGGGATCCTCTTTAAGCAGTCAGTGATAGAAGGCGGATATTATTTTACAAAGGACTTTTTCACATCTGGGGCTGTAGCAAATGCACTCGGGGAGGGGTGGGCTCGGCTGTTCTGAGCAGGACTCGAATCTGTAAGTCACGCAGATTGTGAGACCATGTCCTTTTAGGCAGTTCGCTCATCTCCTCTTTTAACATATTCAATCAAATAACCGAGGAAATTGATTATAGACAGAAATAATATAGGCCATTCAGATAACGCCAAAAACAATAAGCAAAAAAGCAAAAGTAAGAAAAAGTCAGACTGACCTTCTTGATGTCATTCGGTGTCGGTGTAGAGATAGCGGTGAGCGATTCGGTCTCGAATACGAGTTCTCAGCTTTGGTGACATACCTATACAGAAATTTTTTAACAGGAATGAACATGCATTCTGTCCAGTGCCTCCACAGGCTAAATTTCGTGGCTGTTAGTGGAAATGCAGAATCCAAATACGCTACCTGATAGCGTTCTTCGGTGACGTTGTAACAGTGAGCCTGGCAATACCGTCCAAAGCCATCACGAGCTTCTAGCGTCACCTCTTGGATCATTCCGGCTCGTGGTTTTGGCACTGGTAGGTAGACAACTCCCTGCCAAATGGAACGAAAACTGATTTTTTGTTACCCTACTGCTGCATAGCGGCGGGGGGAGGTACACAGTGTCAGCGCCACGGTTCTGAAGCAGTTCATGGACGTTACACGGTTGCTTTGGGCGGAAGCAATTTTTGTAACCTTCCTAGAGCTCCAGTAGAATGCTTCACAGTCAACCATCCCTTGCAGGAAGTCAAACGAAGGGGAAGTGGGGGGGGGGTCGCATAAGGCCAGTGAGGGTCGTAGTGTGGTTCTTTGAAGTGGCGTGGAATTTTGGGAAGTTCGCGGGGGACGCAACACAATGGGGCTGATACCTAATTTTATGATGAGGCAGCGAAGATTGCGAAGCCTATGCAAATCCACCAAGACGGGTCCGGAGTTTATTGCAACCCAGGCGAGTCATGTACCACAGCAGCGTTATTGGTTTTTGGATGCGTTCGCTGAGCAGTGGATCTTTCTTCTTGTCCATCACTGGTCGTGGAATGCGCCTTCAAACCCTGAACTAGCGAGCGACTTTTTCGGACTTACATCGATTTCCGGATATTGAGGCTCGCTCTGCTGATACGCTGTCGAATTCTCGGAAGTGATCTGATTGATAATTTTGACATGAGCGAGGTCATCACGAATGCCTAGAAATAACTGATCAATGGATATCCGTAAAGTCCATGTCCAATTCAACCACGGAAAGAACCATAGAGCGCCAGTGCACCGAACCTTTGCCGTTCTGGTCAATGAGTAAGGTTTTCGTCCACACGTAGTCACCCGATGGCGGATCAACCGACTTACGACTTCGCATCGATTGCAGCAGGCGAGGTGGAAGCTGACAGCGACCCTAAAAAGTTCTTCTGAGTATTTTGAGGAAACTATAGATGCGGTATTGTAAAAGTATTAGTTTGAGTAATAAGGTCAGGCCTTGGTTGAAGTCAGGATATCCAAATTGCGACGGCGCGGCAGAAGCGGTCTCGCGCGCGAGACAATTTTTTGTAAATGTGCCCTTTCAAGTAAACCCATCCGTCCCATTTTAGCGCTTATTCCCTCATTTTTCTTGTGACAATTGCTGGGTTATAGCAAAACTCCTTTTCTCTGGCAGAAGTTGAAGGTTAACCCTTAGCGTGGTGCGGGGTCCTTCAGCACGAAATCACGAAAAGTCTGTCTTATCTCTGGAGCTGTGAACGAAAGAAAGTAACCAACCGTGGGTGGAAATTTGGAAAGCAAGCCGTCAAATAATTAAAAATACATGTAAATGCTTAACGTGATTACCCGAATTAACATGATCAGTAGAGCAATACTAGGCCAGGCCTTGAGTAATTTGCGTAATACTGCAAACTGTCCCTTCTGATCCACACCTCCGGACCTCAGAACTTACACTTCCGCGCCCATTTCGACTTTTTTAGGAGGAGAATGAACTGTATTGATCTGATGGCCTGCTATTATTTTCACTAATTGAAAAGTTTGGGACAGCTTCATACGTAAAACTGAATCACAACACATCCCTAACATAAAAGCATTTATATACTGAAGTGTCCATTAGCAACCGTAGACTGTGTACGTGAAAGACGCGTTAGACCACTGCAGGCCAGGTTTGCACTTGGCCAGTAGCGCTGGGCGCTTGTGAATATTATCCGTCAATCGCCTTAACATGGCAGACACACTGTACCCTACTTGTCTGCGTCTCGCTCGGTCCCTGCTCTCCTCTCTATCGTCTCCCATCATCCGACCACCGTCGGATAGGAGGAAGACTGTTGTTTCTCGAGCTCTCAATGGCTAGGTGATTTCGGGATGAGTTTTCAAGATTGGCTCTGAGGACGATCCAAATACATACATTACACAATTTTTTTAGCGTATCTACATGAAAAACTGACGCTCTGACAGGTTGAGTTGTAGCAGATTGTTGTTCCTTCGAAACCGGTACAATTACCACCAAGAACCACCTGAAAGTAGTTTTTCAAATTTTCCATTAACGAGTTCAATAAAATGTGATTTCTCTTTTGTCTTGTACACGGTGATTCCAAAAGTAATGTCACTTGACACTTTCAGAAGCGCACATTCACCAGAGTCAACCCTGCGTTGCGCAGTTCGCAACGGCACGTTGAGAGATCCTCAACGCACGCTGTATGGGCGGAGACACAGACGGCTCGAGCATGCGAGTGTGAATGTTCGCGCGAGAGAACGTGTCTAATCGGGCGAAACTGCGCAACGTGGCCGTTGAGAAACTGCGCAACGCAGGGTTGACTCTGGTACAAGTTTCAGGTACAGCAACACTTCGACGCGATTCTCAGCAACGAAGATTTAATCGCTTCCAAACATTCAGGAATTCTGTTGTGACACTAGGTTTTCGCTCACAAAGCGCGTTACCTCAGCTGGCCGGCAGCAGACTATAGCGTTCGAAGACTAGCTCTGCATCACAGGCAAGGGGATGATATATGATAATATCGCACATTCCACAAGCCGCATTTGAAATCAAGGACTCTTACGCTGGAGCCTTTGACATGCAGGACACCGCTTCAGAATACCAAATGTCGGACCCAAACCGTCATTGCCTCACGAAATTCAAAGGCCATATGAAAGTAAAAGTTCTGCTGTAACCTGTGCACAGAAATGTTCCTGTTCCGCAGAACGAGCTGCTGTACGGCTGTGAATGTCTCTTCTGAGGTCGGAGCAGCTCATTTCCCGTGAACTTTCTCCCGTACCGAAGTTACGCGGCTAACAGCGTCCCTTGATGGTAGGAGAGGGCCTCCCATTTGTAAACATATGATAACTACTAATGAGCTTTCTTTGCTCCGATTCCTTTGTGAAACAAGAATTCAATGATTGTTGGCTTCTCGAAGTGACTCATGTCATGGTTCCCCCCCCCTTTGTAAAACGGTTGCTGAACTTTGACGGCTGGAGAAATCCCCATAAAACTTTGCATGTAACCACGAAAGACTTCGGACCTCATTAATTTTGGATTATCCTGTGAACAAGCAACATGACGCCAGTAAGCCAACTTTTCCATGATGAAGTATATTAATAATTGAAAACATAAATTATCTAGGAGCTATCGCAAGATACGGGGGTACTCTTCAAGGACTCAACCCAGGAGGAGGCAGGAACATCGTGGAAATAAAAATGTTCTTCACAATCTGGTGCTTCTTCTTCTTTAGCTAAGGCTTAAACCCATTTTGACAGAAAGGAGATGTTTTATGCGATTTGAAATGATTGCCACCATAATGCCCCCGTATTTTGCGATAGCGCCAACTATCCACAGTCGTATAAATGATGCACAGTTTTATCTTTCTTGAGTATCCAGTAAGCCTCACCTTGCTTCGACAACGCCATGCCTTCATATCACACCAATAGTAGGGAGAATCGCAGTCCGGTTTCGATGCGTTACAATGCCTCACCGGCTCATAATCATACCTGCAATTACTACAGTATACCTACCGTAACCATGCGTAATACTTATGAGGTACATACCATTCAGTGGTGTATTGATTGCTGAGTCCATCACGGTTCTGCAGTCGAAAAGGTTTCATCTGTTCGTCATATCCATGCAGAGAATTGCAGGTATCCTAGAAACACCCATTTTTCTGAGGATACAAGAAATAAGCCTGTTTCCTAAGGATTAACAAGAAATAAATGGTAGAAGTAGGGTGTAATATTCTGGCCGGTATCGATGATTTTTTTCAAACGATACATAGGGGGACTAAGGCAGTAAAAGATAAGTAGGCGGGTGAGTGTCATTGAAGTCTTGTTGGTGGACCTTAGCATCACTAAACGCGCTGTGGGAAAGGAGGGGAGGGAGGGAGGAGAGAGGAGAAAGGTGAGGGTGATAACGTTCTTGAGTTTCCACTGCTTGCTGTCATCGAGACACTGCCTCACAACACATTCCGTGACTGCATGAATATGGGTCACTCAGCTCAAAAATGAAAGTAGAGGTGTAGCCGAGCAGCAATAAAGTCAGCAAAAGAAATGCTATGAGGTCTCATGAATCTCTCTTCCGTTCAGAATCTTACTGGCACCCTGAATGCGATTTGACCTATACGACACCTTGTGGGGGCCAGCGAGGACAAGCCAAAGTGTTTTTTATTTCGCAGGCATAACTGATACCGATCTCGACCCGTGGAAGGGTCGGCCCGGGACACGTAACGTCAGGAGTTGTACCTTCGGAGGCGCGGTAGTAATTCAGTTGCAATGCACGACATCACTTCACCTAAGCAGCTAACACTCTGAATAGAAGAAATGCACTGTTTATCCTTAGGTGATGGGTCAGATCGCGAATCGCGCGATTCGCTGAGTCCGCGGTCGCGTTGCGGGTACCAGCCAATTGAGTGATTCACTGGCCGCGACGCGACCGCAGACGCTAGCGAATCGCGCGATTCGCAAAGTCTGACATCGGCCTAAAGTTCTGTGTCACTTCGTTTAATGTATGCTCATTGTGAATGGTATAGCACCTATCCGTGCCTTCAAATAAATAAATAAATAAATAAGTATACAAGCAAATAATAAACAAGCAAATAAAAAATAAAAATGGTTTGTGAATTCTCCATATATTGCTTCTGCCAAACACCATGCTTAGTGGCAGCTTACCTTAGCCCATTGTGCTTTTCTCTTTGTTCTGGCGTCTGTTGCTTCCGCCGAAACTGCTCCCATAAATAATCGACGAACGCATGGTGAAGATAAAACATCGGATCGTTTGGACTCACCCTGAACAGAGTGATAAAAAAAAAGTACCAATTTGGAACTGTAGACTTTTGATGTGTCCAAAAAGATGGCGCAACTATCGTGGATGTAACACAATACAAAAAAAAACTATACATGGTTGAAAAGGAAGCTTGGGCGGTGATTATTCCCTTTTGGGAAGCGCCGTGCGCTTTACTTCTCTATGGAAGAGTAGTAGTGACTTTTAAATGTGACTTGGCCCATAGCGGACTGCGGCTAGACAGATGCTACGGAGGGTTTTTGCGTTCCAGGACTGGGTATACGTACCAAGACTGCGTAGGATGGCAGAGTTCGGCATGGTCCGCGGGTTGAATTAATCCAGCGCCGAGTAAATGCCAGTCATCTTCTACTGCACCGCCTCCTAGCAGGCTAAGTTGGATACTCCTAAGTATTTTAAGAATGAATGCTACCTTCGCCTCTTTGCTTTGGAACGAGAAATTCCGCCTGGTGGGATCTTTGTTCTGAGAGTCGCTTTGTGGAGTTTTAAGGAAGGAAAGAAAGAGATGCCAGTTTTCCACTTCGCTCGTCGAAACAAGGCAAATGTTTTTTTTTCACGGACAAAGGCTCATATTACAACAAATTGTGTCTGCGTGGCTAGGCTCAAATGGTATGGTGGCTGGATCGAATCATTGACGAACTTACGCGTCGAACTCAGCAACCGCTCAGAAACATGGTGCATTCCAATGCTACCAGAGTTGTTGGAAGGCGGACAACTAAAATACAAATGAGTTTATTGTTCCCCTTGACGACATGGCGAACAAGGGAAACTTTTAGTTTGATTGGGCGAATTGATGATCAACAGCCATCGTGGGCCTTCCGCCATTCAAACCATCTCGCCATGTGGGCTTAAAACTGAAGCTATTACGGATTGAGCTCGCACATCATTAATTGTCTAACATAGGCTGATGTCAGACTTTGCGAACCGAGCGAACCGCTAGCGTCCACGGTCGCGTCGCGTACAGCGAAGTGAGCCCTTTGCTTGATCGGAAATCGAAGGACAACTCTTACCGTATGACGAACATGAATCCTCCAACCCACACGTGACTCAGGCCATGCATGCTTTCGAACGTCTTGTCGTGGCAAAACGTTAACTGGCTGAAAAAAATTGTGTAGTTGTTAAAATTTCTCCAATAGTAAATCCAAAAATAATGCGAATTTTATCGAAAAAAAGGCTGTGAGTGGGCTGTTAGGATGAATAAAGTTTTCTACTATGTTATGCCTCTGTATAACTTCCATTTTGCCCATCTGACCCTTGTAACAAACCTGGAACCTAAAGAATGGTTTCAGGTAACCTTCTGTCAAAAGCATCACCTGTGGCAAACCCTGCTTTTTAGGGTAAAGGATTTCAATCACGAATGAATATACATCTACGTGCGCCTCTATACTTGGCACCTTTTGCGAATCGGAGAATCAGGGAAAAAGAATAGATACGTATCGATCGCCACGCTAATGGGTAAGTGTCGCATCAGTGGTGAGTATAGGATATTCAATTTGATCAATACTCACAAAATGCCTTGCGCCGATTCTCCGAATCTCCTGAAACGCCACCGATTGAACGCGACTCAACCCTGCGATATGTATACCTACCCGTCAGTATCACTCATAGCGACAGACATGGTCAACCCCTGAGAAATGTGCAACCGATGGTTGACTCTGCATGCAACCTCATTCCTTCCCTGGCCAGCAGGTTTCGGTCCTGTAACTCATTATCTCCCTGTCCCCTGGTGCGGTCCTGTAAGGGGGGGGTGCGAGGAACTCATCATTCTCCCAGAAGCCACAAGAATGTTTCTAATTAATTCATAAACGAACCTTCGCTACATCACGCCGATTGTGACCTTTAATGACCTTTGCAGATGGCGAAAAAAACTGTGGTGTTGCTTTTTTGAAACTTTACACTGGCAGAAGAATGCACGAAACGGGTCAAGGAGATAAGCGGTCACACCGAGTGTAAAGTCGGGAAGTCGCGAAAGCAACTAATTGGTATGAAGAGCATGTACTACTTTGTTACAGCGACATTGAGGTTGATTTACAATCGGAAGGCACATTCCAGTCTACAGAGGTGTGTGTAGTCGCTGCTCTCGTGAAACGAATCAGAGTACGAAGCAAATCTCGTCGCTGCACGAGAAATCATCGAGAACATCTTGAACAAGATCCTCTTTGGAGCCTTGATCTGTATTTGTTCTAGCGATTTTTTGTGGGGACCGGGGTGCTGCGTACGCTGAAGACGAGCTTCAGCTCTTGACTAGCTAAATTATGTCGTGAAGTAGCTAGAGTAGCCAGTTACGGTTAATACCTTTCTCACCTAGACTGAGCTCTTCCAGCGACCAGATGTTTTTGGAGTGAGGGAGCATCTTCGGACCATTCAATAATTCTCATTGATTTCAAATTTTTCGATTTGTTTCTTAAACCCCAGCTCTTTTAGTAATGCCACGTGCCGCTTGAAGCCACGACCCAACCGACCAATCGCAGAATTAGAATGCCACCATAGGATTCATCCTCCTACGTTAGAGATGTCCATTCATCGGGTGTGAAATGACGTCAGGGCGCAGGGTCAACCGTTACGTTGGACCGATATTGGAGCGACGTTGGACCGATGTTGACCGCTCTCCGCGCCGGCATTCACTCTCGCCACCCGCGAGCCGTCTGTGTCTCCGTGCGTACGTTCACTCTCGGCATTACTCTCGTCGTCGCGTTGGACTTTGTCCAACGGACGGTTGACCCTGCGTGGGCGTTGGGGCCCACAGAGACTGCCACCTTTCTCGTCCATGCTGGTCTGCGCCCTCTCTTTTACTTTCCTCTCCCGCCTATCCTATCGCCTGTGTCACTCGGGTATCCGACAGGAGGCCCGTCGCGTGGCGATAGGCAGAAGGCGGACGGGTCAGCTGACGATATGCAGGCGCCGTACGAGTTTGCGATCAAGCTTAAAGGAGGAATTCACGATTAGAATGAAGGTCGAAGAAAGGGAAACTGACCTAGTTGAGGGACCCACGGACCTCCTGAGGGTGCGAACTGACGCGCAATTCGCATGGAAAAATTTGACCTCGGCGACCTATCATGCCTCAAAGCTGGCGGGTCCGGCGATCTCCGCCCACCGATCATCTGATCACTCGCCGTAGTTCAATACGTGGCGAGTGATTAGATAGCTGAGAGAGCGTAGTGTTGAAGAGGGCACAGCGATGAGAGTCGCATCAATGCTCGAATCAACGGGCAAGGAAGGGGTACCATTTCTCGGGTTCTGGGCCGTTTCTCATGGTTCTTCCTTCTTTCGTGTACCACTCACCATCCCTAGGTTAATTTGAAATGGGTTGCTTTTTCATCGTGAATTCGTCCTTACACAGCAGAATGTATTCTTATAATGTCCTGCATCGCACAGTGCGGACTCGTCCGCTGACCCTTCTGGTCCTGTGGCCGTCAGCGGACGAGCTCTCCGTCGAATACCGGTGTCATCACTGCTTTTACAGGGGAAGGGGAAAGCCGATAGCTATTTGGCGTTTCGCACTAATTTTTTTTCTTTTCGTTGTTGGCCAGCCCACATCGACCAGCGATCTTTTTCTGGGGTCATACACCGTGGGCTGTGGGGCAATGTGGTTAAAGGAAGCGATTACGATAAGGAATTTTCGCATCGGGGGAGAACCTGCGCCACACGGAGCAATTACTTGGCTGCCAAGGAAGCGATGTGTGGTCCTCCCACGGCGAAAGGTGCTGTGGTTGCTGAGCAGGACCCGCGTGACGCCCCGCCCCCAGTGACGTAACGCCCACTAGTTTTGTTGATGATCTGGATGGACTGTTTGCTGTTGGCTTTTCATTTTGGATGATCATTTCCCTTCTAGCGGCTGTATCTTCCAACTTGCCCACGTATTGCCTTATCAATCAAAACACTATGCTTGTTGGCATGATGGCGGCTATCGGGGTTAACACGTCCGAACAACGTCGTTCTTTACCGTCGCTCATCCATGGTCGAAAATGAAAGGGCAATCAAAGGGGTACCATTTTGCTTATTTTCGACGGATTTCTTTGCTTTTTTCGCCATTGGCGTACTATTGAGACCCCACGTCCCCTCTAAACCCCTTTGAGATCTATCGTAATCGCTTCCTTTAAGAAGCGTTAATAAGAATTAATCGAATGCAAAGAATAAAAGGGAACTTCAAGAAGGGACTGCACCTTGTTTAGCCGGGACTTAATCCATTCAATGTACGAGGCTGTGCCTCCGGACGATCGTCTGCTCGCGCACCGCCAGTGGACCTGAACGATCTATGGCAATAAAGTAGTGAAGCGCTGAGTAATGCTTCCAAATACGCCAAGAATTTCCCTTTTGTTCGTTAACATACATGATTAGGAGTACTTAGATTTACAGGTCCAAATAGGATGACCAGTTAGCGCTCAGGTAAGGTACAGGTTCCTCCACAAGTAATGCTGAAAATCAAGCCCAATTCAAAAACAGGCTTCTGGTAGTCATCTTGCCTTTCAGCTAGCTATTTAATGAATTCTGTGGAAAAAAAAGACGAATGATAGACTTTTCTCGATAGCTTGGCTTCGCGCAGTGCACTCGATACCCCTCTAGAAATTACTTCAAACTAGAAACTGCTTTTTCATTATTCGCTCGTCAAAAATTGAGATCGCTCGAGGTTCTACCGATCTCAGACCGTATGTAGGTAAGCCTGTCTTGAGAGCAGGATTTTTAAGACATTTGAGAATGAAAAAAACTTTAGTGATGCAGTCTGCCACAGCGTCATTCATCAAAGTGAGACACCCCGAATTCGAATAACCACTTGCGTAGAGATTCTCACGGAATCTGGAACCTCAACAGCATCAACACAGGGTGGTGCTCCCGTTCGTGAACGGACCTGTTTTCACATACCATACATCACGCTATCTGATGGCTCCGGTAGACCTGAATTGGAAAAGTAAAAATAGGCTCAAATACAACTTAAGGATCAAAATATGAATTGTTGGCGCCAATAAATTTTCTACGGGTGCGCCATGCGCTTGACTACACTCAAAATGGCAAATGTGTTTGCACGCACTGCTGCAGAACGAATATAGGATGGCTTGCAAGAGTAACTTAGTGATATTCAAAATAATTCAAGCTATTCTCAGAGCAAGTCCTTTGTCGTATACCAATCACGATGGGACTGAAGAATTGTTGATTTCAGTGGATTCAACGAGTAGCATCGACTTTCTCCGCCACGCCAATCCACCACATTTTCTTTTGAGCCAGGTATGGCGGCACATGAAAGTGCCCCACTGATGATCACTCGAGTTCAAAAGCTTACTAGATGTATCCCCTTATAACTTTGCAGTACAAAACAGTGCTCGAAACAAACTGCCAAATCAGAGAGAAGAACGCCCATGTCCCAATGTTTTGCCGAAGTCCAATTAGCATGATTCAATAATTTGAGTGATTTCGATTGGAACATCATTGCATGGCCTATTCGGACAAATGCCCAGGGTTTTCTTCAGGTGACAGCGCAGGTTCTCAGGAATTGTGGGAAAGAGAATCGCCTGGGCTTGTAGGACTGTCTACTGCCCATGGAGAAGTCTCCAACTTACGGAGGATATTCTTACATCTACGCGATTTTTCGCTTGCATATGCAAAAGCCTTTTGAAGAACAAAGTAAGGAAAAATAAGAAGATGAAATTTTATTCTATATCTATATTATTCAAGGTTTTTCCTTCTAAACGTCTACCCGTCCGCTCGCACGGCATTCAACAGATTGCACAGCGTCCCTGTTTCCATTAGTTGCGAGGTTCCCCTATTAGGTAACCCGGTTGTTTCAAGTGGTACAAATAAGGTACTGTAGTGATTCGTGCACTAATCGACCTAGAATTCCAGATATGTGGACCAGAGTGATGACGTGGAGGATTTTTTGACGGGGGTCGTATATGGCCTCTGATACAAGTGGATCGTTCCAGCTGGAGTTTGTAGCTATGTATTTTTTAAAGGGCCGATAAGAAATCTATCGAATTGCAGGGCTTATTTGTGGGAGGCTGATTCTCCACTTCTTGAGCAAGGTGATCAGCCATTTTATGGACCGAATGGGAGCCTAGAGCCGATTCTCACTATACTTTGAAGGGGCAAATGTGCCCGATTTCTGCTATATCTCTAAGGGTCAGAATTGCAAGTTAACCCTAATATCTATCATAGTTCTGCGGGTGGCATATTCTTTGTAGCATGAACTCAATTACCCGTTAGAAACGTTGGTATAACAACCACACGGCGATGGGCTGCTACAATCGGGTTCTTGGCCCCTTCCTTTTGACTGTAGGCCAACCTTTGAACCCGGTGATGATACATGAAGAACAACTTTTGTGGCGATAGTGATGATGTCGTTGAACAGAACTGGTTCTTCTGGCCTTTGTCGTGACGCGGCGCATCAGCTGCCGACGCGCTCCATCAACTTGTGACAATGTGCGATTCGCTTACGGAAGTCGTGCTACGCACGTCGCCGCGTAATCGAACGCATAGCGTCGGCGTAAGCGACGTAAGAATCGTCCATCGGCCACTCCCTATGCAAACTATCGGCTGACTCACACTCGTCAGCCAAACGTGTAATCGCAGATGACAAGGACATGCGAAATAAAACAGAACTTGCTGAATCGTTTGGTAACTCAATTTTCAATTGATAGCAAATATTACTCGAAAGAAGGGTCGCAAAGATGGTTTTGCCTAACCCTTGTACTAATTCGTATTACACTTTACATTTTATTACTTTACTGCGAGTATTTCTTTCAGCAAACCAATTATTTATAATGTCAATATATTCATGTGCTCTGTTACATGCATGCCAGCTGAATATTGGATTACGAGAAAATATTATAAACAAGAGCGCTACCGCCTATATACGTTTTTGACGACCCCTGTTATAAGCATTAAGGCCGATGTCAGACTTTGCGAATCGCGCGATTCGCTAGCGTCCGCGGTCGCGTTGCGGTACCAGCCAATTGAGTGATTCACTGGCCGCGACGCGACCGCAGACGCTAGCGAATCGCGCGATTCGCAAAGTCTGACATCGGCCTAAGCAGGCAAGAGTCATGTGAACGATTCCTTCGGAATGTAGGACAGAGCCCTAGAGGACAATCACAGATATGGTAGGCCTGTGCATGGAAGTCGCACGAAAAGGTGCCAGGGCGTTGCAGAGACAGCTTCAACAGCTTCATGTCCACCGTCCACAGTGGGCTGTAAGTCTGGCGCCGCCGTTAGTCTGCGCGCTCTTTCGCGCTATCGAAAGGTCTTTCAGGACATGGAGCCCTTTTTTGAAAACGGTTTTTTGCATGATAAAGGGGCACATGCATGGAGTACAAAACTAGGCTCCATTTTTTCTGAGCGGCCCTGTGAGTGCCAAAAAAGGTATGAAAAATCGGTCGAGGGATCGGTCCCGGCTGATGACAAAATTTTGCATTTCACGTTAAAGTAATAAAGGATAAAGCATTTGCCGTTGATCAATCCCTTTTTGGGATGCGGCACGCATTTCTACTTCCATTTGTACATTCGTAGTGGCGTTTGAATGCGATGTGGCCTATACAATGACTTGCGGGGGCCAGCCGATGTACAAGTCAGTGTTTTTTATCCTCCCAGACAAGTCTGGTACCAATTAACCGACCCCGGAGGGATGGAAGGCTTGGTTGGCCCGGGCGACTCACGACCCAGGATTTGATCCCCGGACCGCTCGCGTGGTAAGCGTGCCACTTGCCACTATACAGTGCGTTGCAAAATCATAGGACACCCCCCAAAAACATGAATATCTCGGCTTCTAGAGAACGTCGTTCATCGAAACCTATAATGTCAGAATCGCCTTCATGAAAAACCTATACTCACAGTTTACCAGCTTATCAGGGACGGTAGCAAACCTTCATTAATTCAGACTTAACGTGTCGAGATTAGCTCAGACCAAAGTCAGTTTAGATAACTGGTTCAGAGCGCTTCTCAACACATTAAGTCTTGTTTAACCTACAGTTAGATCATAACCAAAAAAACCAATTTGACTTGAAGTTAGACAGTTAACTTGTAAACCTAATTCCTAACTAATCAGAGAAAAAAATACTGTGGGGTTAAAGAGACGCAGAGGCCACGTTGATCCTTCACTAAAAAGTACTCCGAAGCACTTTTCACTGGAGGGTCATACGTGTCAGACGTGGTGACTGCGCCTCCTTCAATCCCGTGCTCTTTTTTCTTCTCTGACCAGCTCAACCTGTTAGGAATCAAAGAATGCAGCTGCGATCCATAATCTTCAGGTACTTTTGCAACCTTTTTTTTCTTATTTATTCGTTTCCTGATATTTTGTCGTCTGAAATCTAAAGTAGGAAGCTCTTGCTTGATCTGGGCTGGATCGCACTCTCCATTCTTTATTCTTTGCTTAGAATCTCCGATCGTTACTTCTGATTGCGAGTTAAGGGTACTTTGCTACCGTCCCAGATTTTTTTCCGTATTTTTAAATAAATTTTTTTTGATTTTGGAGCCGTTGCAAAATCATAGGACACCCCTCACAATTCTCTTTACTGTAAATTTTTTTTAACCAACCATCAACGGAAGTAGCTCTTATTAAGTGTATGGCAACTCTATTGGAACTGCGGTTTCGAACGATCACCTCCCCTCCGTGAGTGGAAGCCAGACGATGCTTTTACATGCGCCTTATGGCTCTACCACGACCATCGAAGCCATTTCTGGATGTTCAAGGAAAACCGTAGCCTGGTACTCCAAACTCTCACTACGGATAAAAATAAGAGAGTACCAGGATAATCACAACCTCCCCGAAAGGATCGGCATATAACCTCGAAGACTACATCGAACAAAATCACCATGCACGCTCAGTTGGTGTCAGCTCTATCGCAAAAAGCGGATGAAGGCGAAATCATCTACCAAAATCATTGGTATGGACAACTAGCGTAGGGTCCTGCTAAGCGTGCTGCCATGCTCGTTAGGCGTTGTGACTGAAAGCGGAGAAGAGAAATTCAATGAAAGACCGGGCCAAGGCAGGGCTTTGTTGAGCAAACTTCCGTTCAGGTCAATAAAAATTTTGTTTCTCTGAGACCGCTTTTCTGGATACAAGTACTTGATTTCAATGGCAGATGATGCTGTTCATTATTAGAGGAATAGGCCAGGATTCGACGATAATCCTTCACCAAAAATCTCGTGGCGGTTTCCTAAGATATGGGGATGCGTTACCTCATCCCGAGTCCCACACCTGGAGTTTCTCTTCTCATGTTTCAGTCACAGCGCCTAATGAGCATGGCAGCACGCTTAGCAAGGACCCTACGCTAGTTGTCCATACCAATGATTTTGGTAGATGATTTCGCCTTCATCCGCTTTTTGCGATAGAGCTGACACCAACTGAGCGTGCATGGTGATTTTGTTCGATGTAGTCTTCGAGGTTATATGCCGATCCTTTCGGGGAGGTATTGTGATTATCCTGGTACTCTCTTATTTTTATCCGTAGTGAGAGTTTGGAGTACCAGGCTACGGTTTTCCTTGAACATCCAGAAATGGCTTCGATGGTCGTGGTAGAGCCATAAGGCGCATGTAAAAGCATCGTCTGGCTTCCACTCACGGAGGGGAGGTGATCGTTCGAAACCGCAGTTCCAATAGAGTTGCCATACACTTAATAAGAGCTACTTCCGTTGATGGTTGTTTAAAAAAATTCACAGTAAAGAGAATTCTGAGGGGTGTCCTATGATTTTGCAACGGCTCCAAAATCAAAAAATTTATCTAAAAGTACGGAAAACAAGTCGGATAAGCTGGTAAATTGTGAGTATAGGTTTCTCATAAAGGCGAATTCTGATTTCACAGGTTCGTTGAACGACGGTCTCTAGAAGCCGCGATATTCATATTTTTGGGGGGTGTCCTATGATTTTGCAACGCACTGTATACTGGTACCCCTAAAACTTCAATTCAAGAAATGCGATATGGTCAATGCACCATAATCTTTTTGATGAGTGTTAGTATTTATTTCCTTATTAGCTTATTTATTTATCCGATTATCCATTGAGTATGAGAGCAGAATTGGTACAGTGGCAAATGGCGCTGCTTACCATGCGCGCGGTCCAGGATCAAATCCGGATCTTACGATGTCCAGGACAAAAAAGTCTTTCATCCCTCCGGGACAGATTAATTGGTAGCAGATATGACTGGAGGATAACAAACACTGATATGTACATTGGCGAGCCCCCCCCCTACAGTCAGGCCATACCGCAATTCAACTTGCCACTACGAACCTGAATGGTGGTAGAATGCGCAGCGTATCACAAAACGGGATTGATCAAGGCCATGCGCTTTATCCTTTATCCTCTGAGCTCACCTAAGCACCGCAATGTCTTCTATGATCAGGAATTTGCAAGGAAATCTGCACATTCTAAAATCTTGGCCGTCACCCAACTCTGGGCGACGTTGCCGTTAGAATTAAGTAAAATATAACTTCTCTGCAAAAGTTAAGAACGAAAAATAGGCAATTTTAGTTGGTAGAAATCAAATTAATCAATTGCCTTCAATCGATGCATCGGTTTGTGGTCGATTCGTTACCCACCATTTGCTATGATTTATCACCTATATCACCTGTCGTCCCGCTGATCGACGAGTTCTTCGAGCTTACCCCAGGAACGTCTTCATTCATCCCTTTGGCGTGCTAAAACGCCCCATTGGTCCCTTTGGCCCGAAATACTTCGTTCAGTTCGTTTAGAACTTTTGTGAAGAAATCTGACCAACGGAATGGTGATCGTTCCCGCTGCTTGCCCGAGCGTTATCGAAGGAGCCTGTTGTGATCGAATGACGTGTCTGGCCACCACATCTTTGACTGGGCGTATGCCGTGCATAATATCAGATTTGGTGGGTTTTGTATTCGGTCAATTTTGGCAGTTTTGAATAAAAGGATAAAGGATAAAGCATTTGCCGTTGATCAATCCCTTTTTGGGATGCGGCACGCATTCTACTTCCATTTGTACATTCGTAGTGGCGTTTGAATGCGATGTGGCCTATACAATGACTTGCGGGGGCCAGCCGATGTTCAAGTCAGTGTTTTTATCCTCCAGACAAGTCTGGTACCAATTAACCGACCCCGGAGGGATGGAAGGCTTGGTTGGCCCGGGCGACTCACGACCCAGGATTTGATCCCCGGACCGCTCGCGTGGTAAGCGCGCCACTTGTCACTACACCACTTCCGCCCTTCCAGTTTTAACTCTCAAAAAATGGACTCGTGAGGCTTGAACGAATTAATCTGTCACTAGTATTACCATCAATGAACCACGATCGGATAAGCCGCCGTGCCATTCAAAGGCAAACATGTAGGCGGAGCCAATTTGGAGACGCAGTTGGTGAGCTAGCGTGGAGGGGAGAGGGGGTAGGGGGAGGAGAGCGGTCTGGACACACCTTCCAGCAGACTGAGGTGTTGCCGAAAATTTCAGAGTCTTTCGTGCAGCGGGTTGAATGAATAAGTAGGTGACCTCCCAGGTCATTATCTTATTGCGACTGAAAGGCAAAGGTCGGCTCAGACACGCTAGAGAAGTAATTCCGTGCCTGGAGGTGGAGGTTGTATGTGGGTAGCTGCACACATTGCAGCAACTTTCCCACCTTGAAAAACGTCGTTAAGCCCCCAGGGCCGTCGGTTTCAATCCGGGACCGCCCACCTCCGGAAGTGGTGCGTGGCTGGCATAACGTGTGAAATCAGCTAGGTTGATTGCCGTATCAACCGATAGAACGACTGACATCTCCAGAAAACTTGTTTGTACGTACCTCTTTCCCCAAGACAGCCTCCTTCACTGCTAGTGGGAAAGAGGGTTTTGTTAACGGCCTTGTCGACGGTTTTTCTCAGTTTTTTCTCCACTGTCGTTCCACTTCGCATCTCTATACTCAGTTTCAATCGCCATAATACCCCCTTATTGAGCCCGACTTTTGCCTTTAACCCCCAGAGTTGCAGTATGATCATACTGCACTAGCAAAGAATAGAGGTAGAAGAATAGAGGTTTTATTTGAATGATTTGACATTTCTTCCCATCTTCCAAAATATCTGAGAAAAATTCTTTGAAAATATTTGCAAATAATACAAATATACAAAAAGATGCGGAAATGGATAGAGTAAGAAAAAAGCACCACACCACATATTATTCAGGTAAAGAGCTCCATTGAAATCTCGGTTGCCTTAATTGCTGGACAAGGGCTAGATTGGACTGAAGGTGACTAATCCATGAAAGTCTCAGTAAGCTAGGGTGGATTCTAATCGAGCAGTGTTTCATAGGCCTCCGAATTCGCAGGCTTTTTGGCGACCCAAAATGTCAGCTGCGATATGCGGGCTATTGAAGAAATCAGAAACCCTGTTCGATTCTACCACCTTAGCTCACTGAGACTTCTATGGATCAGTTACCGTCAGTCGGCTCTAGCAACTTGTCAAGCAATAAAGCAACCGAGCTTCACCTAGTTTTATGAACTGAATAAAAACTTGCAACTAAAGGGCCATGAATACTACCCAAAAACATATGTAGTAGGTAGGAAAGGTTAGAACAGTAAAACTGCGAGAAATCAAGCAAGCAAAAAGTCGATGAACCAACCTTGGTCAAGGGTCGAGTCCCAATATGGTAAGGAGACTGACGGCTCTTCATTCTGGAGTGCGACTTCGAATTGCGTGAATCGCGTATGCCATGGCAGGAAATGCAGGACCCCAATGAGCACCTGAACGATAAAATTTTCTCACAAAAAACCTGAATACTCCAATCTTGTCACGCGACCTGCTACAGGGTCAACCCTGCGTTGCGCAAATTCCAAAATTTTTACGACCCCCTTCCTTTTCGGAGGGTATCGGTACGACCCCCCATATTAACTATTATGTCTTTCACATAATTTAATGCTCATCATTGATGTGTGGGCAGTCACCAACATGGAGAAGTGGTGGACCGTGGTCAATCCGCGCGCTTTGTCTCGCTCAGAGGAGGGAATCGAGGCAAAGCGCTGTACAATCGTTCCCTCTCATTTTGCCTGCGGTATTCTCGTTCCAGCAGAACAGGTGATTCTGATGGTCGTTATTGAAACGACAACGAATCCGGCCAGCTACGTGACCACCTATGGCTACGACGAGGAGGTCACGTAGCCACCCGGACGTCCCACCTAAGAACAATCACGGGAACAGTGCAACTCGTCTCCGAAGAGGCGATAAATCATTGTTCCTCTGAAAAATCTGGGCGCTAGCGAAATTCATAAGGTGTGCTCGCATCAAGCATCACAATTCCTTTTTTCCAGTCTAAACGAGTAGTAGTGATTCATTGGGCGAAACAACCACACCCACATGGTCACCTGCGGGATCTCTAATGGAGACAGTAGAAGCGATTAGTCACACCCATTATTTCGGTAGGTGCATTAACACTGGGACAAGAATGATTACAGATTATAGCCACAGTTGTGGTTCTGGTTACAGAAGTACGCTCTCCAATACTTTGATTTTGCTTTACATTTTTTGGTATGTGAATCATTATAAAAGGATAAAGGATAAAGCATTTGCCGTTGATCAATCCCTTTTTGGGATGCGGCACGCATTCTACTTCCATTTGTACATTCGCAGTGGCGTTTGAATGCGATGTGGCCTATACAATGACTTGCGGGGGCCAGCCGATGTACAAGTCAGTGTTTTTATCCTCCCAGACAAGTCTGGTACCAATTAACCGACCCCGGAGGGATGGAAGGCTTGGTTGGCCCGGGCGACTCACGACCCAGGATTTGATCCCCGGACCGCTCGCGTGGTAAGCGCGCCACTTGTCACTACACCACTTCCGCCCAATCATTCCATACCCTACTAATTTGATGCTTTCTCTTTTTAAAATAGTTTTTTCTTTGTCGAGTCCTTTTCCTTCATTCGTTCAGTTTGTGTTATTAGCCACTCATCAACTGCCCCGAGAAATATCCCCCTAATACACTTCGGGAGCGCGTCCACTGTACGCAAAGAGCCAAACAAATGGATAAATAAAGAAAAAAAAAACAAATAAATAGACAAGCAAACAAATCAACAAGCATGAATGACACGGGCGAAATATTCTCGAGCAGTTCGAATCGGGCAATCGGCTTGGCGAAAGTGATGAAAAAATTTCAGATGTTCAATTCTTCCATTGCCTCGTAACTCAGGTGCCAGTGTTCAACGGTCTAGGGTAGGTCGCTTGAAGTGGAATTTGGGTAAAAAATAGGAAATTTGTCTGACTAGGAGTGACCACCAGTGTGAAGTAGACCGAATACGCGTGCATCCATATGTCTTTACCGTTCTGAGGGGAAGACGAATGTATGGCGTATCCCCGGAAGAAATATCCGTCGTACAAACATGCTGCCTTTGCCTCAGCATAGCTCTCAGAAATTATTTAAATTATATTATTATAATTATGTCATAAATTTGACGCGTACTAAATTTTAGGAACTCGTAGATGATTGAATGCTAACAAGCTGTTATGTAAGTGATAGAGATGAGCATTGGAGTTTGAGGAATGGGTGTAACTGTGACTAGAAAACTGAAGTTGAATCCGAAAAAAAAAGAAAATCGAAAAGAGAGCTGAGTGCAATTTTTCCTACCTTAACCACTT